CGTTTCGATATGGCGGGAGTTTAAAGCAGCACCCAAAGACACTCTCCATTGCATATTTAGGGTTACCAGATCGTCGGCTCCTAGAAAATTTTATAATTTTCCTATGGGACCACCAGCGTTCGGACCTACCTTTCGGTCTATATCGAATCGGTGGTCGACCATCGATTTGCAATGTTACATTTGTCTCAATTCGGTGGATTCTGTAAAATTTCGTGAAAAATTTTTGCATTTTCAAGCCAATCCATTTGTGATAAATCTTACCTAACAGTATGCTTTTTGTTATCATTCACTTTATGAGCAAAATGCCCAAAATGATGTTCCCGACTGCCAAGATTGTACTTTATTTGTAAAAAACCCTCTTCCTGCAATGTAAACAAATATTTTTCTGTAAATTTGCGTCTCGGCATATCGTAACTTACCAAATAGACAGTGAAGTAGTCTTGATCTACTGCACAATCGATCGATAATAGTACTCCAGAAGGTCGTGAGGTACGAAATGCAAAAAGCATATAATCTCGAGATGTTGACGGCCGTTCACCCATAGGGTATTCGAAGAAAATCGAGGATGGGGCAGCGAAAGAGGCTGTGGTTGCGGCTGAAGTATAATTTTGGTAGAGAAAAACTCAAAAAAATCGAAGGTTTCTTCTAAATTCAGCTTTGCAGAGAATTTGATGCAACAATAAAAGCAGTTCTAACTTTTTGTAAATTGATTCGCGATCGAAACACGTCATTTTGGAGTCCTGCCCAATACCGTAATCTTTTCGAGCAATCAGCGTACGGAGTACGGTACTGGGCAAGAGTTAGTTTTTTGATGCAAATGTGCGAGTCTTAAGAAGAATATTCATAATTCTATGTTCGTTTTGCAAAAAATTAGATATATTTAGATTTTATGTTAAGTTTAGAACCTTACCGTCCTGACACCTATCTCCAGCATGAGCGGTTAACGTACAATCACACCGGATAGAATTCCACTGCTGTATACATCGCCCCCGATTCGAACATGCCCCGGGCGAACATCGAGCAAGCGGCCCTTAAATTACCGTATCCTTACCGTATCACCTGTCAACCAATGGTGACAAAACTACCTGAGCATCCCCGCACAACATCCTTTTTATCCTCAGAATCATCATAAACATCGATGGCTTGATCATTGAGTCGCATACCAGCCAAACAACCGCGAAAACCACCTCGAACAAGTGGTGCTGATGGTGGAGCACCTCCTAAAATCACCTACGGTAAGTGCAGAGGGATACTGTAAGTATACTGTACCTATGGTGACGACACCGTTGAGTTCTGGCGCTAGTTCGCTTTCAGTCACTACTGTGGTATTGTCGACGAGTAACATGTAGAGTGAACTACGTTCTTCCTGGAAAAGTCTAGATGATTCTACCGTATACCTACCTTAT